CACCGATTCGGGTCGTCCCCCTCCCCCCACCTTTTCTCTCTCTCTCTCTTTTATCTCAGTGAAATATTACGTGTAAGGGATAAAAACGTCCAACCGAAAAAGAAGTCTCGGTGTTAATTCGATGGGATCGTGGAAGCATTGGGATAAGCATCGTTTAAAAATCGTTAAAAATGGTTAAATTTCATCAAGACGGTACGACGCCAAAATCCTTCGAATGGATATTTGATATTTGCTCGGATTATTGGTTCTTACGAGAGTAGCGTAGATAGTAGCAAGATTGGAACGGAATAATATACGTTTAAGAGTAACGATCATAACCCACCACTGCGTTGTAACCCAAGTGGCGCCGACATTCCAGACGAATATTCGTTATCTCCCTTAAAAGGGATCGCTTTTCGAAAATCAAGAATGCGCGAGTCGTGAAATTTTTAAGTTTCGTCGACCCTTTGACTTTATTTTAATGTCACGAAGCGGCGATCCGCGTGGCGCCTTTTCCAGACGTGTATTTTCCGTAGACGTCTGTAAAGGATAACGATACATCCATTCATCGTATAAATTCACACGATTTTCCCACTCTTTCCCGAGAAAACTCTTCGAATTTTACTCGAATCTCCGTTCTATTCTTCGACCTTTTCGATTCGCGATTTTCCAACATAGCGTTATCTTTATCACGCTTTATCCAATTCCGTATACAACATCGAGGCTTCGTTCGTTTCCCTTTCCTTCTCTCCCCAAACTTTCCCTCGCCCGAGTGGAATGTTCCTCGAATACACGGTGCTGTCAGCTCGTTACCGCCAATGAATATGGATCATCTACTAGGATCCAGCAACGGAGGAGGCAAGAAACGCGGAGATTCGATTCTTTCCATCGGCGCTGCACCGAGCGAGTTGCATCGTAGATTTGCATCGAGGAAACATCAGTCACGTGTTCGATATTCGTGTGGAAATTTTTATATATTTGTGGATGCGCGGTTTCGTAAATGGAAATAATTGCAGTGATCGTTGATCACGACAATCGCGTTCTCAGATTCGATCTTCAGATCACAGCAGGTAACAATCACGTTTCGATTAAAATTATCCCTTAGATCTAGACTAGGCGCGAAAGTTCCCAACAATAACTCGTTTATCTAACTTTTCACCTTTAGATGAAAAGGGAGAGAAATTTTTCACACATTTGCTTTCTTATATTTATCGCATCTGCGCTTCGATTCCTTTTTAATTCCTCCTTTACCCACCGAATAAGAAAAACCTTCCCCTCCAATTTTCAATGACCACCACGCCTCTTCTTCCCTTTTCTGGGGGCGGAAAATTCACATTTTCCAATCTTGGTAGCCATCAGATCCGTTGCAAGAGGTCTCGAGATACCGATCGATGGTGGTGGCGGTGATAGAAAGACGTTAACTTTCGAGAGTTGGCAGTTGGAGGAGAAGGTTCGATCCAGGTTTTTCGTGGAAACGTTGTACGGTCGTAAGAAACGAAATACGAAGTTGGATGCACAGGGGAGGGGGAGCGGCGAAGCAATTCGATTAAAAGGCCGACGGAAATAAAAATAGACGACACGGATTTTTCTCTTCCCCTCCCTGCGCATCTATGGCGGCGCTATCGATTATCGGCCAATTCGTACGCCGGCTTCCGCTCGAGAGCTCGATCTAATCCCTCGCGAACCATCGCGCTCCTATCGATCCACCATTTTTCTCCTCCCTCCCCCTTCTTTTCAGATCCATCCATCTTTCTGAACATTCCGCGAAACGCAACAGGTGATATTTTCGAGAAACTCGTTAAAACGGTAATAATCGTTCGCTCAGAATCCGGCAAATAGATCGATATCGACCCCTCTTTGTCTCGCGCGAACAAACCACGTCCCCCCCCTCCAATGATCTTCTTCCTTCCAACAAAGAGGAAAATTCTACGGGCTTCTCTCGTCGATCCTATTTTCTTTCATCCCGTCATCAGATTTTTATCACAGTGTGGTGGCTGCACTCGCCACGTTACAATGCTATTGTTAAAAGTTTCTTCCGATTCTCTTTTTTTCCAGGGGATCGACAACGGGTTTTTTAAAGGAAAAAACCCCTTTTTAAAGGAATATGATATCGCGGGGCGGGGTATAAAATTTCAGCTTGCCTAAAATTCTTTCCTGCGTTATCCTTTTTTTTTATTTCGAACGAGAATCTCGAACGAAAAATCATTCTTCTCTCGATTTTCGAAAATTAATGACCAGCATCTTGAAAACGCGTCGTTCCATATTTTGCATTTTCACGATTCTCGGTGGGGAGGATTAAAGCGAAGGAAGACACTCGAGAAAGAGAGAGATAACAAGTTTCAATTTTGCTCGGTTCCAATGGAAGAGGGTCGATTGGCTCGATTCCAAAATCAGCAAAATCGGGGTAGAAGGATGAGTCGGAATTACGCGTTAATTCGTAGCGTAATTAAAGTTAGAAATTATTCCACGAGAATGGCGAAAAGTGGCCACGTCCAAAGTGGGAACGACGCGCGCCTTTCGCCATTTATTCGATCCTCGACGCCTCGACGATCAACCCTTTCGTTCGTTCATTCGTTCGTTTCGAGCTTCTTCGACTCGTGCCTTCCACGATCGATTAAACGTCGAGGAACCCGCGTTCCAATCCCATTCCTCCTCTCCACGATTCCTTCCAACGATTTCGTTTCCCCCCGCAACGTTTCTCCAGACGTTCGTATTCCAATGCTTCGTTCCTATATCGTGGAGTGTGTGTGGAGTGTATACGGAGCTCGCTGTTTCCGCGATTTCGTTAGGCACCGTGGATGCAACCCCATTTTGGGGGAGAGTGGAAGACAAATATAGACCGGGACGGTTGATATTTCTGCTCTCGAATTCCGCTCCGCGTGTATTTTCCTTTTTTAAAATTAAGAAAAAAGATCGAGATCAATTTTGAATCACTTTGGCATTTTTTCCCACCAACTTCACGGGGAAATTTGCCGAGTTGAAGTTTTTAAATAAATAATAGGCGTAGACAGAAAAGACGAAGAAAGAAATTTATTTCGAGATTCGTTTGATCTTGAATTTTCGAGGAAACAATGCAGGGCGAGCAAATTAGTCGGCGATCTCGCTCCAATTTATCTCTGGACGAAGAGAAGAAATATCTGGTCCTTTTGATCGCGCCACCATCTTTGATCTATCGACGCGGCGGATACCTTGCTCGCAAGGAATTTCGTTCAATTACGAAATGTCGACGGCCACCTTGATTCACGTTGACTTGCGCATAAGTTTTAATCAACTTCGACCCTCGTAAACACGTCCGTGATCGAGTTTCGCCACTCGCCTCGAGATTTTCTTTGCGACGAATCACAAATTCTGGAGGATATAACTTCGATTTCGAACGTGGAGAAACATATAATTCGAAAAACACGCGAACAATTTCAAATTCGCAAATTCAAATCTTCTTCCTCGATGTGTAAATTTCGTGTAAGGCTTCGCGAAGCTTTCTCCTTCTTCGGGAGGGAAAGGGAAAGGGTTTCGTTTTATCGATTCGAGAGATCAAGCCGCCACTTTTAATCAAATTACAGATTTTTATCTCGCGTTATCCGATCTTGTCTGCTAGCCGACCCTAACTTCCATTAGGGGGAAAGCTAATCCGCGCGGATAGACGACTCAGCCGGCGTCGGATAACTCATATCCCATCGACGAATGCATCGCGCCAACGTGAATTCTGAAGCCGAGAGAGATTGGCCGCCATCGGCCAACCGTGTCTTCGTGTTTCGATTTTCACCACTCGAATGGAAATAAACCGAGACTTTTCTCGATTTCTCTCTTTTTTTTTTTTTTTTTTTTTGTTCCTTCTATTATTATTCCATGCCCACGTCGATAGAGAAAAATGACTTTTGACTTATGGCAAAGAGGATTTATTCGAAATCCTCGGTCCATCGATTTGAAACGGAACGGAAACGACTGTTGAAGGGATGCAACTTAAGTCGAGTCGAATTTTCTATCCGACGAGCACAAGTTGAAGTTTTTCATCCTCGTTATTCGCGCACGATTCGAAGCTATATCCGATCTTGTCCAGACCGTGGAAATCAGTGACGCGAGAAGCTGGAACGTGGCAGGTAAAAGGTTTGACTCTGGACAGGCTCGGTATATACTCGTTTCATGCGTGTAACGCGATTAAATAATGATCATCGGGCAACCGTTCACGGACTCACGTGCATACATACGCGCAATTTAACGCAAGAGTGACGAAAAATGACGTAGAATCGTTCGAAGGACGAGCGTGGGCACGTGTAGATCACCTACCCTCTCTCTTTCACTCTTTTTTCTTTCGCTTTTCTTTCTTTTTTTACCCTCTTTCACGATCGGTAAAAGACCTCTTCTTCTTCTTCTTCTTGCTAAGACGACAATTTCCTCGCTGATAATTATTTCTTTTTTACTTGGAGAATTTGAGAATCGTTGTTGTTGTTGGACGAACATCCGAACGAGATGGGAAAAAATGAGAAGAGGGAACACGCGACGGCGGGGAATCGGCCCCACTGTCGAAGCTTATTAGACCATGACGCCAATCACTTCCCCGTCCTCGATAAATTCGTTTCGTTCCGACTCGTAATTGCATTTGTTTTGCAACAACGACGTTGTTCCCTCCATGCTCTCTCTTTTTTTTCAACCGGATGCAAACAATGAAATTATCCTTCGTTCGGAGAAGAATCACCCTACTGTACTACCCTACTACCCTCTGGTAAAAAATCGAATCGAAACCACTTTGCTCCCGAGGGATCGAACGTCATCCAAAGGGAGGGGAAAGAGAGAGACAGGGGGTAGAAAAATTGTAACAGCGATAGCTTCGATCGATAGATCGAAAATTTTAAATGTTTGGAAAAAGGAGACCTTTTTGAAATTGAATTTGCGCGACAAATTTTCGCCGATAAAACACGATAAAATAAAATTTCGCGTATGCGCGAGCCGTGTGTTTCCTGCGTAAACAGAATCGGGACGATGAAAAATATCGCCTCGAAATTTCACGTTCATCCTCGAGTCGTTCTCAAAATCATTCTCCCGTTTATTTCAACATTCCTCCACGAATTTTCACTTTCCTTTTCGCGTTCCTTCGAGACGAGGCGCGCCCGATCGATGTTTCCTTGAAAAGAGTCGGAATTTTTTCAAAACGATGGAAATTTCACGAATCGAAAATCGACGGGAGAAATGGACGGATCGATTTATTCCTCGAGTGAGATCGGCTACAATCTAACGAGATCTCGAATGAAAAGTCGAGATACGAGATCGAGAACGCGTGCGCGTTTTAATTGAATTTCCAACGTTGGCTCGAATTTCGAATCTTTATTTCGCTCGATCCCGGGCGACATACGTACGCAAAAGGTGGGGGAGTCAGAGTGTCGCTGATTTCCACCCGATTTCACGCTTGCCGAACAGCAGTCGATCTCGTATCCAGGAGATCGAGATCGGATCTCACCTTCGATCTCTGGGATAATCGAGAAAAGGAGAGATCCCTGCTGCCACTCCCCCGTTCCAAAATTAAATTCCCGTTCCCGACGTTTTATCTCCCCGAGCTTGTCGCCAACTTCAACTTCCAAACTTCATTTTCCACGTGTTTGGCCATGGAGAATCGCGAGTCGTGAAATCGACTCGTTAAACTCGAACGGAATTCGATCGGGTGTACGCGTTTTAACCTCGTTGATCCGCTTGCCTTCTTCCTCGATATCGCGTATCGAAAGATAAAAATCGAAACGAATTGGTCCGGATAGTTCGACGCGAGCAAGTCCCAGTTTGCCGAATTTCTCGCGAAACACGAGTTGTGCTCTGTTTGCGCTCGAGAAAATGTTTACATTCGTCACTGGACGAAAAGAAAAAAAAGAAGAAGTCATTAGCGTTTCCCGAAAAATATCCGGAAATAAACGAGCGACGATGCATCATCCTTGTCACTCGTGTTCTATCGTGATTTATCGGTGGAAAGATTCAACCCTTTGCGCTCGAGAGGCGATTCTCGGTCGCCGCGACGTTTCGACTCTTTGTTCACGCTAGATTTCCTTATCTCCGATTAATAAGACCGCGAATATTGACTCGATTCCCTCTTTATCTCTTCATTGGGGAATAATAGGAAACTTTAAACTTAATTTCGAAAATCGTGGCAAAAGTTTAGAAGCCCTAGAAAAAAAAAAGATTCGAAAATAAAATTAGCTCGAGCGAGGATGAGATCGATTTCGAATTGTTGAGAAACGAGATTGATTATTGTCTCCGTTAAGGAATCAGTGAGACGTAGCATTAGGTATCGAAGAAATCGAAGAACGACAGACAGTGAATCCAAAAGAGAAATAGCGATATTCTAGTGATCCAGAATTGACTCGTGAAGAAATTTAACGATTTTACGTAAGACGCTCGTCGCATAATCTCATCTCTCGTTACTTCGCCCGAGCGAAGGAACTCGTGGAGCGTAAAGGGTTGAAAAAGGGGTATACCTGTCGTAAATGGAACTGCGAAATCGAGCAACGAGATCTCGATTAACGATCGCGACGCTAATGCAACCAGAATGGAAAGTTACCGGCCTGGCTGTTTGCCCTTGCGCCAACCCCGTTGGTTACTTTCTTTCCTCGCGATTGTTCGTTTCGCTCTGGGAAAGCGAGGGAATTGGAACGGATCTGGAAGAAAGAAAAAAAATAAATAAATAAAAATAAAATTCTTTCCAAGTTTGCCACGATCAGCTTTTATTATATTTAACGGAGAGGAGGCGACGAAAATTTACCTTTTACCTTCCAGAATGATCAATCGTTATATAGGCGATAAAAGCTCGTGTCTATAAATATATATATATATATATATTTATTTCGTTATACTATTTATTCGCTCGAGCTCGAACTCGTCTCGTCTCGTCTCGCGGGATCCCCACGAGGATTCACGATGTCACGTCGAAACACGGGAATTTCCTCAAATTCTCCGATTCTCGATCCCTCTCCGCCTTTAAAGATTCATACGGTAAGCGCATATATTATACATTATCGATCCTGTATGATCTCAAAATACTAGAAAGTAGAAAAAGGTTAACCGTTCGAGAACGAGTAGCATTTGCCAAGAATCGAATCGAAGATTCAGAGGGGTAAGAAATATAAATATATTTCTTGAATTGTTTATTTAATTGTGACCAAGGACAGAGTACATTTTTATAAGAAAATATAAATTTTCGTCGCCTCCTCTCCGTTGAATATAATAAAAGCTGATCGTGGCAAACTATTTTATTTATTTTTTTCTTTCTTGCAGATCCAATTCCCTTCCAAAGCGCTTCGTTCCTTGCGGAAAATTTCTTTTTGGAGATCCTACGACGAATAAATATCGTAACTTCATCCGTTAAACTTCTCCTTGACAAATTGCCATTGTTCCACGTGAAAAGTTTTCTCCATCTCGAATCGAAAGAAAATGAAACGTTCCGAGAAGATAACGCCCTCTAATTTGTCCCAGTCAAAACACCTATCTATCCAGATCCTCTTATCTCCTCCCCCTCCCTCCCTTTCTTTTTTTCACGTCGATTCGATCTCGTTCGTCGAACGATAGAATTCCAAAACTGATTATCGCCACTTTCATTTCGTAATTCACCAAATTATTAATAATTGATAGCTTTCGAGATGATTGCCAAAAATCGATCGATATCTCAATGGACGTACAAAAGAACGAAAAATATTCACTCGAATATATATTTATTTTATTTTCGTCGCCCTCTACGAATGACGCGTAATAATACTCAAGAAAAAAAAAAATATATCAGCAAAAGATTCGTGGAGATCGTGGACTCGACAGCTACGAATGCAACGACGAATCGAAATCGGTTCGACAACTAATTCCCATATTCGACGGGGAAACAAGAGCGATTGCCACGATCTTATCGTCTTAGCCCATGCACCCTCTACGCGTGTCCCGCCTAATGGAACATCTCTGGCGCTCGAGCAAGCCTGCACTGTATCGTATCCTCGAAATATTCCGTCTCGACACCCTCGATCGGTGCTCTCAGAATCGCGACGAGACACTACGCTAGGATTCATAGTATACCGTTTCGTCTCAACTCACGAGGAGAAACCTGTCTATCAGACAACGCTACGAGGAAAGTTGAACTATTTGAAAGGTGGCGGTGGTGGGTGAAGGGTATGCACGGGGCGCGTTTTCGCGAGAGATGTTTCGCGATCGTTGCATCGTGGAAAGATCCCGGATTACTTCACGGAACGGCGAGCAAAATTTCTCTCGGCATTCTGATCCGGTTATTTAATTAGTCGGCTACGATCGGAATTTCGCGACGCGACGCGTACTTACTCGTCGGATTTAAATTCTTCCCGGGTTTGCTTGGAATGGCGAGGGGGAGAGTCGTCCTCCTTTCTAATCTTTTCTGAATTCACTCGAAAAATCCAAATTGAATTGAATCAGAGAAACATCGATTTGGTTTCGAGTTTTGGGCAGACGATTGTTCGAAAGATTGGATAAAATTCGGAACGAGACGATATAACGAGAGATATAAAGAGAGAGAAAGAGAAGAAAGGAACGCACGGTAGTTTTATATCAAGTTGTGCAGCGCGCTGATTATCGAGAACGAGGAGTTAAATGGGAACAGAAGTGGAAACAGACAGGAATGGTAATCCTGGTCTGCAGATCTGATCGATTCGTGCAACGCAGCGTGCCGGTAGGCATCTATTCAAGCACGCATTCGGTCGATTTAATACCGTAATTTCGTAGAGCACCAATGGTGGGCAAACTTTCGGTAAGTGCCCTCCAAGTAGACCTACTCTCGGTGCATACACACGTCAGAAATGATCGTAAGCTTGCGTGTAGCAATCCCGAGTCCAAATTGGATCCAACAAATCTTCGTGTTCGAAATTAGCCACGTCTATAACGTGGCCGAATTGCCACGAATTTACCCTTAAACGAAATATCGAGTGGATATCGAGTGAGAAAGGGAGAGAGAGAGAGAGAGAGAGAGAGATCGGATTAAAAATACATCCCTTAACGCATTCAACGCGGATCACGCGCTCGCGTGGAGGATAAATTATATATCCTTCTCTTTTCTTTTCGCGTGTACGTTCCAATCAATGTTGCGCGCTTAATTTATCTTTGATTAAAGCCGAAATAATCCTCTACACTCTTCGAATCTACCCAATTCTTTTCCATCCGAATTATTATAGAATTATCCAACTATACAAGTTTACTTATACTCCCTTTAATTTTGTATTATATATATATGTGTAAATATATTTCTGAATTTCCACAAATTATTTTCTACGAAAGAAAATCAATATTCTCCAATATTGGAGAGAGAGAGAGGGAGGGAGGTCGGTTAAATTCGCGAGCTCCCAAACTTCCTCCGCACTTCTTGTTCTCGGATATACGGTGGAAGGGTGCGAAAGATTCGAGGCGGCCAATTCGACGGAGCGTCACTCTGGCCGGCCCAACGTTGAAAGTCAAGAATAAAGGAGGGCGGTTTGTTTTCAACGTAAACGAGCGGGTTTGGGCCGGTTCGGTTCGATACGCGGCGGAGGCGGAGGCGGCGGCAGGTTGCAAGGTTTATCGGCCCTGACACGTGTTACGACAACGGATTTGGCGGTTACGATGACGTGGAAGGGGTGTGAACGAGACAAAATCCAAGGCTGGCCGGGGGCGGGAAGGGAAGGGGCACGGCACCATCCCAGGGTCGATCGTGGAACCGATCGAAACCCCTTTGATCAAGTACCGGTAAACATTCTCCCAGGTCACGGATGAAAGCTCGCCTCTCCGCTGTTTTCAGCCTCCGGTCTGGCCACCAAATCACACGCCTCTCCCTTTATCGCACGCTTTCCCCCCAGCTTAATATAGACGTGCACGCCGGCGAAAAAATTGCTAAATCGTTTACACATCGGCGAAACTTTCGGTGACGAAATCCACGATTATCGACACGGAGATATAATTTTCTCGTTCTACGAAAATCGTAGAAATATATATAGAGAGAGAGAGCGGGAAAATATCTTACCAAATATATCTTTCTCCCTCTTTCTCTGTTTCAGATTTCCCTGGAAAATCGAGCGAAACGGCTCTAGCCTAGTCGATACTCTCGAGCGAAAATTTCGAGAAAATTTCGACGAGGAAGGAGCAACAACTCGATCGAACTTGAGAACAGATATACGTACATATATATATATATACACGCGAGTGAAAGAGGAGAGTTGTGGATCGGTTCGAAGAAATGAGAGGGCAAAGGATGAGGAGGAAGAAAGGCGGCGTCAACGAGGGATCGTCGACGACCTGATGCGGCATCTCTGATCCGAAAGAGCGCGGCGAGATCTCGGCTGCGCTCGTGGCGATCGTGGGACGAAGAAAATGAACGAAAGCGCGGTCTACCTGCTCGGCTCGGAAGAAGAGGGAAACGTAGGTGACACCCAACTGAATCGAAGCTTCTAC